AGTTGGTGCAAACTGGTGTCCATCCAAATCCAGGATTTGAATTCCTGTTTATGTGTGAGTGTTTAGGTTAAGTGATCACTATGGCACTTTCCAGATCTGACTTCCTGAGTGGACTTTTCCTTTTTAAGTAGTGCAAGAGTATGAAGATCTTCTCAAAATAGAATATTTATGTCTTCACAGGAATAGTTTCAAACAACCCTAGAAAAAGATAAAGCACAGAGGAACTGTAGTCTTTGAAGATGAGAGTGTGCTGACTGAGAAAATGGAAAATCGTCAGCTGAAGAGGACAGGGCTCAGAGAACAGGGATCCACCCATCTGTCCATCTAACACACACCCACTGGCACCTCTTATTTCCCTGGATCTCAGGGTACATTCCTTATTCTCTACAAGGGAACTTAACAAATGCCACCTGGATGTATCAATGACTACGGATGATGGAATTAACGGTGTTCGTTGCTAGTACACTGGAGAACAATCTCGAGAATGCCATGACAAGCTTATGACCATGTGACTTTAACTTATTAAATTAATAGAAGCCAACTCAATATTCTTAAGGCACTTTGGAAAGCTTAAAATAGTAGATACATAAAGTATTAGTGCATTCCGTGTAGATCATGCCAATAAAATAAAGCTATTGAGCATAAGATGGAAAGATGTTTGTATTTCCTCATTAATTTTTATTTGATTGGCTGCATTGGGCTCCAGTAGGTACATTTGACTTCTGGGACTCTCAAAGCAAGGCACCACTGACTGAATGACAGCCTGACCCATTAACTGACCTTGGAATGTATCTTCCCATTGCCACAATAGACCAGAAGCTTAGAACTAAATGACAGAAGGTGGATTATTCTGGATTTGTAACCTATGCATCAAAGGAACTGAAGGCACGCTACTTGGGGGGGGAGGGTGTAAATCAATTAAAATTAAATTACAAATTAATTCTCTATTATATTTTATAACATCCTTTTTTCTGTTAGAAAGTTCCATTACCATTCATTTTTTATTTCAATTCTTCTGAAAGGCCATTCAGAATTATTAATAGATGAGAGTTTATAAGGAAGGTTCAGACTAAATAGAAAATATAAATCAATGTCAACCTACCTGAACATTTACTTAATTGTCAGTGGTCAGTGGTTCACTGGAGCAATCAGATCAATTTTTTGAAAAATAAGATGATCTATTTTATTTCATCTGTGACCAAAGGCTTTAATATAAAATAGAGATTAACCTAGAATTTATTGAGCTCTGAAGTTCAGCTTACTTATTCTAGAAGTAAAGAGTAGAAATTCCAGCACAGGCTGGATTTAGATTGATGTATCCACACTAGCATATTGTCATGATTCCCACCCATTAAATTTGTTTCTAAGTCAATGAGT